GGAAGAGCACAAAGAACTTTGCCCATTTTTATGGCATTTTTATATGATTCTGAACCTCTTGTCCAGCAATGAAACTTAGCTCAAATAAAAAATTATGCTAGCCTGTGAATTTATATTTTTGGATTATTTGAACAAACTTTATCATTTTTAGATGCTGAACATGATATTTTAGTATCAATAGATATCAGATAATTCAGTAGCCTATTTTCCTCTATCGATCAGTATTCATTACTAAATGAGAAATTCAAAATGGACAAAATTTTTTTTAATTGCTTTCGTTAAAATATTGGTCAATTAAGCAGTTAACAATATTTCAAACTTTTATAGAATAAATTTATTTCCTTTCTATATAGGTCTATACTTATACAAAGATATATTAGCAGTTTTATCTGTACAGCATCAAATGATTCATATATTTCAAATTCTTGACGGCATGTTTATAAACGTCAGAACAATAGGAAGGTATTATGAGCATCTTACTAAATGTATATCTTATTAAATGTTACAGTTATTAATACTTTGATAAAAGACATAAAAATACAATACAAATGACATGTGTTAGGTTTTGCATGGAAGACGATGCTTATTTAGTGACGAGTGCTTTTCCTGGGATTAATTGTCGGCCATTTAAGGATGTTGCAATAAATAGTTTGAAGCACAGATTACTAGTATATTTATATAAAAGAGCAGAATATATAAGCTACATGACCAAGGATCCTTATGAATTGAGAAGATTTTATCAATATTTCGATCAACTAAATTCTCTAAGAATGTGGAAGATGCAGTTATTAGATACCAATCACATCCTGGTGAGATATGCTAGTGAAGAAGTAGCAACGCTGCAAGCAAATGAACCAAATGCGCAGCCGGCTTTATTAGTGGTTTACGATATGGTTACGGCAAAAATTTTGGCGGCTTACGACAACGCGTCGACTCAATTGTTAACCCAATTCGAAAACTTTAGTGACTTTTTCAGAAATGCCAGAATGAGCACAGATTGTCAGTACATGTGTTCGCCATCTAACAACATATATGCACGGTATATAATATTCTTCATCTTAACATTGATGCACATATAAAATACATGTTTAATTGTCTAGATAATTTTCCTTTAACTTTGTTTTATTTCCTTTCAGATTGTTGCAGCAAAGATTCAAGCAAACGATAATAAGCGCTAGATATGGAGGCGTAACCGAAGCTACAAAGAGGCTGCTTGCTCAGTTACCAATATGTGCACAATCCTACTCCAGTTCTCCTTACCTCGATTTATCGTTATTTTGTTACGATGACAAATGGGTGTCCATGATGGAGCGCCCAAAAGCATGCGGGGAACATCCAATACGGTTGGCGATTCATTCTTATCCTTGTGAAAAAAAGTTTGAGAAAACTTACTTTTGCCTGTAATTTCTAATTTCTTTTCTTTTATACAGCTTTTATGCACGCGACTCAGGTCTCTTAAAATTTAGGATGTATGCCGGTATGCTGGGGCGAACGGCACCAACGGCTGCAAGACGATTAGTTGCGTTCACGTTCCATCCAACTGACCCATTCGCAATTTCAGTGCAACGTACTAATGCAGAATATATTGTTAGTTTTCATGTTAGGCATGTCTAGATCTTCCTTTTCTCGATACATGTATATTTTATTGATGTACAAAGAGATATCTTATATCTTGTAAGAATTGTTGAAATCGCTGTCGCTAAAGTACAAAATGGAGATTTGTTTTTCGAATGAAGCTATTACAGCGCGATCATACATGTTAATTAAATTTAAGGACTATCATCGACTGCTAGCATGTAAGACAATTGTAGTTTAACATACTTTTAATACAATCAAAGATTGAAAGTCTTAAAAATGCGAAATATTTGATAACATTGATGAAACCTTAAATATATAAGGATCGACTATGAATACGCGCATAAATATTCTATTCACTTTATATTACTTTAGTTTGTTTCTTGTAACTGAATATTCTATATCTTTCACCTTTTTTTCATCAATATTTTATTTAATTTGTACTAATCTTAGCTAAGCTTAATATTTTACGTATCGGTCGACAAAGCTTTTCAAACTCGTTGATTAGCTGCAGATCTAAGCGGTAAATATAGCGGATCGCTTCTGATTGGTTACGCGTTTCCGCGTTCATATAATGGCACCCGCATGGTCCCATGATGCGGAATTGGCAGAATGCTCGTGATTGGTTTAGAAAAGACATATCGGTGGAGCGCAATTGACGGAATGCTTGCGATTGGACGGACATCGTTCCGTCAATTCCGCAATTTCAGTTCCGCACCATGGGACCTCGCCATCATGCTGGATTCACACTGCATTCGATTTTCATCGTACGACGAAAATCGGATGCAG